CCCCCCCCCCCGCCCCCTGCAGCCTCTCAGCCTGCACCTGCTCTCCGTCTGTGTTCATCCATAGCATCCCCGAGGGGTCTGGTGTCAGGGTCCAGTCCCACCCTCGTGCTACTAGGAGACCAAGCTCCTCCAAAAAGCCTTCCAGGAACACATATGTGGGGAGGTGACCATCTGGGGACCCCTGGGCTGAGACTCTGTCTGGCACCGGAGGCAGGGATGGAGGAAGTGGGCCAGGAGTCACCTCTAGGCTGGAAACCATCCTACATTTCAGCCCTTACACAGACTAACACGTGTTAAACCCCTACTGTGTGCCAGGCACTGGGGAAGCGCCGGGCGTCCATCAGCCCACAAAATCCTCCAAAGAAGGTGTTACGATTTGGGTCCTGGATTAAAAAGGGGGCCTTAAGACCACAAGCCTGCCAGGGCACCCAGACCGTCCCCTTTACAAATCTACACCCTCAGCCTAGTTTCCCCAGAATCCGGGCACACGGGCCTCTGATCCCCAAGGACACTTTGCCTGTGGGAGGGTCCCCCTTGCAGATTCTTGTTGCTATAACTTCCCGCGTCTCCAGGAGGACAATGCCTAGCTCTAAGGGAGGCTGTCCTCGGACCCCTCACAGTGGCCCAAGCCCATGGGTGACAGAGTTCTCGGACCACCTCTCCCAACTCAGGACCTCCCTGCCACACGGCCTCCCTGCTGAGGCTCAGGAGGCTGGGCCCTCAACAGTGACCTCTGGGCTCCCCACCCCCAAGCCTGTGACCGCACCAGCAGGGGAAAAGCCGCCCACCCGACACAGAGAAAAGGCAGAGCCCGGAACCCCAGGCCAGAGGAAGCTGAGCTGGGGAGCCCTTCTGTGGGGCCAGGCCACACAGGTCATGGCGGCCACAAGCAGGGGAGCGACGGAAAGCAGTGGGTACAGGGAGACTCTGCATCCCAACTACACATCTGCTTTCGAGGAGGCAGGACACTGGGAGGCCGCCTGGACCCGCGTGCATCTTTGCTCCCCGCCATGGTGGCCTGGGGGCGCTCCCAAAGTCACCCCACTGGCCCTCCAGGCTTCAGAACTCAGGAGGAATGGACAGCGCTAAACCCACCCGCTGGCCCATCAGTGAAGCCGCTGGAGCTGCGTCCCCGAACCTCCCTCGGGGCCTGGCAGACAGACCGTGGGGGTCACTGGACAGGGACAAAGGTCTGGAGATGGGAGACAGGTCAGAGTAGGAGGCAAGGGAAGAGGGCTGTCCGTTTTGTCTCTTGGACCCCGTGGCTTCACCTCCTACTTGCGAGGGCCTTCTCTGTCAGCGGAGGGATGGCTGGGTTTTAGGATGTCCCCGGCCTGCCGATTGCTGTGGCTACACCCAAACCGCAGGCCAGGCGAGCCACCTTTGAACCCAGTGCGGATAGAAGGAACTAGAGGCCAGAGGCCCAGCGCTCTCCCTGCAGGACCCAGTGTCTATGTGGACAGCCCCGAGCCTACGCCACTCAGACGACCCTCCCTGCATCTGTAAGCTGACAAAGGGGCAGCCCTGTTAGGATGGCCCAGGCCCAGAACCTTCTCAGAGACACGGTTTGGCCAGATCAGGCCGGACCCTCCCTCTCCACTTGCAGGGACAGAAAGGAGCCAGTGTTTGCCGTGTGTGGGCACACAATGGGCTGTTCCCTAGACCAGAGCCTTTCCATCAGCAACAGTTAATATCTGTCAGCCTCCACTCCGGCCAGGAGCCAGGAGCCGCAGAGAAAGAGAGCCATCATTGTCCCAGCCCCGAGGACCTGATATTCTTGGGGACAAGTTGGACAAACAGGGAGTGACCCCTGCCTGGAAGGAGGCTTCTGGCTCATCAGGATGGCCCCTCTCACTCGGACGGTCCGACAGCTCTGGGGAATTGTCAGTCGCTGATCGATGATGTTAGCTCACAGCTATTAAGCCCCTACTGTGTGCCCCTACCAGGCACCCGGGAAGCACTGAGCGTACTTGAACCCACAACGACCCTCTAGAGAGGACATCATGGTTGCTGCCCCCCACTTACAGATGAGACAACTGAGGCTTCTAGAAGCAACCCGCTCGAAGGCCACACAGTTGGCAAACGGCAGAGCCTACTTGACTATTGGGTGTATTCATCCTACTCCCGCGGGGCCTCCCCAGACGGATGGGGTCCTTCCAGTCACCCCCTGCTGTGCCCATCAGAGCTGAAGGAAGAGGCTGGAGTAGGTGCCTGTCCCCAGGGGAGCCCAGAGGCCCCACAGTCTGCCTCCAGCTCACTTCTCATGGCCCTCGGGCTTCCCGAGCCCTCCCCTGCCTCCCCAAACAGACATCCTGGGCCATGGTCTAAGAGAGTGTGGTCTGGCCCCTGCCACATCCTCTGCCTCACTTCACACCTCTCGGCCCTCTCTCCTGCTTGAGCCACACGGGCTTCTCCTGCTACCCAAGGGCATCACAATCCCTCCCACCACAGGGCCTTTGCACAGGCAAGGCCCTCTGATTGAAATGTCTGCCTTCATGCACAACCTAAGTTCCCTTCTCCACCTCAAGCACCGTCTCCTACGGGAGCCCTCCCCGACCCCTGTGCTGGGTCAAGTCCCCCCTCACAGCACTATGCATTTCCTTGAAGCCCCTGTTGGGGTTAATTCTTTGACTTTGTCTCCCTGTGCCGGACTGTAAAGTAACGGAGTGAGGGCAGGGTTTCCAGCTCCGAGCACTGCCCCCCATGTGTCGTGGGTACGTGATAAATATTTACTGCCTCCTGTGCAGACGACATGGGGCCTGCCCCGCTCACCTCATCACAATAACATGAGGACCAGGAGAACAAGCAGGCATCCAAGGACTTTGCAAAACATGAACCAGAGGTAGGCTTTAGCCCTAGACCACGTAAATATGTGCTCTGTGGGTAGCAGGCATGTCGAGGTGGGGAAGTCACGTCATGGGCACGTGGAAAAGTGTGTGAAAATTTTATGGCCGGACTGAGGAGTTCAGGGCCCATCCAGGCTAGGGAAGCTTTCAGCTGCGTTTGGATCAATCTGAAAAGGCTTCTTGGAAGAAGAACCCTAGTTTGCTTGACGATGTCATCCATGAACAACTGAGAGTTCAGTGGATGGGGGAAGGATGATGCCTCAAGCCACGTGGACACTTCCTCCCCCGCCTCCCCTCCGGTGAGCAGGTACCTATGCCGCCAGGTATCAGCAGACCCCTGCCCTGCCCTGCCCTGTAGCTCCTGGCCACAGCCCCGGGTACCTGCTCATCCACTTTATGGGCGATGAGGGTGGCTCCTTCCTCCAGCTCTGCCACGCTGATGGGCCGGACCCGGAGCGCCACCTAGGAGGGAAGGCCAGACACCTGAGATTAGATGGAGGGAGCTGGCTGGACAGACAGAAAGATGAGAGGACCCCAGGATTCCCCTGGGCGAGCCCCTTGGGTTCTCCTCTGTGCAGGCATCCCAGGCCTCCTTGGTCTTAAGGAAAACTCGGGGGTTCAAGGCCACCACCTGCGTGGAGGGGAGCAGGACCACAGCATGCAGGTTGCATCTGAGTCTGCGAATTTCCCCAGGGAGCCCGGGGCCTCAGGGAGAGCCCCAGGGGAGACAGCAGTCTGCTTCTCCAGCCTGCATCAGTCCCACGCCCAAATTAGGCACCTGCAGCTCCCCAAGGCTTTGAACTTGGAGCCTCGGCACTGGAGCAGCCCGTCTGTGCGTGTGTGAATGATGCACCGCAGCTAAAGGCGCGGGGCTGGCTGGTGGGCAGGTTGGGGCTGGGCCCAGGGAACTTCACTGTGACATCCCGACAACCGCGGCCACATTCCCACTGAGCACAGCGCCGTGAGAGTGAGAGAGCACAGGGCACCGAGAGAGCACAGCCAGGGAGAGACGATGGGTCTTCATCCTGTGCATGGGTCTCCCCCAAAGTACAAGGGGGTGCATTTCTTCTGACCAAGGGGAAATGCCTGCTGAATGCGTACATATTGCTAATAAGACCCTCCGAGGGACCTCTGCTGTCTGCCAGATCATCTCTACCGGCCCCCTCAGCCTCTGTGGGGAGGGGGGAAGCGGGAGGCTCTCCATCGCTGCCCTGGGGGCACGTCACCCGTGTGGGCCAAGGCAGCCATTTTCAAAGAGACACATTCTAAACCGCCAGAGAGAATATTCCAGAGCCTGGGGCTTTCTTGGGGCTGGGGTCCAGCTCCTCTTTGGAGCCACAAGCTCACTCTGCAGAGGCGGGGTGTCTGGGGGTGACATTATCCTCCGGTTCCATAACCACCCACCTGCTGGCGACGAAAGCCTCCCTTCCCAGGCCTCAGAAGTTAGGGGATGAAGAGAGAGGTGGGAGGGGTGGTGGCCTTGGGGTCACTGAGCCTCCCCCTCATCGTGTCAACACGGCATCGTTGATAACCAGGGGTCTGCCTTCGGTCTCTACCTGCCTCCCAGACACCTGCTCTTCATCTGCCCCAGACCCCAGGACTCAAGGAAGAGGGCTGGCTGCTTCCAGCACTTCTGGGAAATACTGGACGGTATCTGTGTGGCAAGCCAGTGACCAGCCACTCTCAACCCCACGCCAGCTCCTCGGGTATGTGGGGGCTCTTTGTCTACCTGTGACTCCCAATCCCTTTAAACTCCCAACCCCACGAGGCCAGGGGACAGCTCTGGTTCCCGAGGAAACCCCCACTTTCCCTTCTCTGGGCAGGTGGATTCAAGACCTGACTTTTCTAGATCAGAGAGCAGGGTTGCCCCAGAGACATATGCACAAGCTTTGGGGATGGGGTGGGTCCCCTGGCGGGACGGTGTAAAGGGAGGGTGGGGTTGAAGCCAGGCTGACTTTTCAGGCCCCGGCGGGATGGCCACGGTGCCTTCCTTCTGCCGTCCAGGACTTGGGGAAAGTTGCCCTGGACAGTCCCATCCCTTGTCCTCAGTGTCCTCTTAGTGGTGGTGAGGGTACAGGTGGTGACGCCGAGTCAGGGTCTGGGTGTCGGGGGCGAGGAGGAGGAGGGTGTCGGGGTCTCACCATGAGTTGCTGGTCCTTGGAGTCCCTGCTGTCCTTCATGCTTGCGGCGGGTGGAGGGGCTCAGGCCACGACAGCGGGCATGGCCGAGCCGCACCCCCACCGCCGCCGGGTCCCTCGCAGGCTCCCTGCGCCGCTGCCGCTGCCGCTGCCTGACAACCCGAAACCAACAACGCGCCCGCGGCCAAGGGCGCTGACCGGGAGGCGGGGCAAGGGGAGGGCCTCTGCGCCCCCGCCCCTTCCGCGCTGCTGGCGAGAGCTGGCCGCCTCCGCCGGGGAGGCGCCCGAGCCTGCGCCGCTTTCCGCGGGCGACTGCCCGCCCGTGCGTCCCTCCAGCCCCTGCAGGGCGGCCCTGCGTCCTCCCGGCGCCGCCGCGTCCGTTTGGTAGCCCCTCGGCTCCTCCTGCGGCCCCCGGCTCGTGCCCAGGGTCCCTCTCCCGCCGCCTCCAGGGGGCGCCCGGCGGGCTCCCGCTGGCAGCCGCGCACATCCGTGGCGGCCTCTGCCGCCGGTGTCTGTCTGTCTGGGCGTCTCGGGGCGGCGGCCGGCTGCCTGGTGTTTCCAAGGGCACAGCGTGCATCGTGGCTGCGGCTGGGGTCTCTGGCGCCGTGTCCTCACCCGCTGTCCAAAGGCAGAGGGGGTGCAGAGTTGTCTCCGCCCGGGCTGCCCGCCCGAGTGCTGCAGGGGAGCACCTGTATACGACTCGGGATGTTTCACGTTAGAGCCCGCCTCCGTGTACCCCACTAGCAACCAAGGCCTTGGGGGCAAACCAGAATCCAGGTCAAGACAGTGGCGTCTGTGTGCCCCTCTGACTCCCGGCCCGCGGAAAGAGCCGCAATCCTGGCCAAGAAAGCGTAAGGGGGACGCTGCTGTCTCCACTGTTGGTGAAGAATTTACACGCCGGCAGGAGCACCGCCGATAGACTCCTGGCCTCGGGGGGCCCTAGGCAAACAGAGCTCCGGTCCCAGGTCTGCATCCAACTTGCTGAACCACCTGGAGCCAGTGTTTCCCGTCCGGGCTCTGGGCCTTACTCTCCTGATGGTGATGGTGGAGCGCCCGCCTCCGGGTCCTGGTGGTCCATCTTCCCTGTCTCCTTCCCTGTCTCCTCCCCCTAGTGAAGCAGAGGCTAGGACAGGGGTGAGGGAAGCACACTGGGGATCTCTTCCCATGGAAGGAGCTGGGTGAGGAAGAGCCGCTCATCCCCCCGGGGCTGTCCCAGACAGCCTGGCGCACATCCAGGGGCAGAGCATGATGCCAGCCTGTGCCCTGGGACTGGCTTCCCCGGCTGCCCCCGAGGGGCTTGTGCCAGGTGTAGTTATTAATAAACAGCGGCAGGAAGCCACCCGTGGCCTTGGATTCGCTACAGAGACAAACGGAGTGAAGTCTCGTGGAAACCAAACACTCCTGCGGGGGGGGG